TAAAGTATAAAAATATAAAATTTTATAGAATCTATGGCTTATAAATCCAATTCGTCAAATGAACCCCATGTATTGCTGATTGTGATAAAAAAAATGTCTGAGCCCAGGTTCGAACTGGGGACCTTTAGTGTGTGAGACTAACGTGATAACCAACTACACCACCCAGACCAATCAACTATCAAGCGATGTTTCATTGTTCACTAATGTTCTATAAATAAGGCAAACATCAAGGATGGCAACGGGTTTGCTTCAAGAGTGAATAATGTATATTCCGTTATCCCACCCCAATATAGTTTAGCTCTTAACCATAACTATAGGCTATAGTCACGCAAGAATTAAATAGAAAATAAAAATATTCACATACCCCTTCGAATTTTGAGTTATCATACTAGAATGAGAGTAAAAACAATATATTTGGAAATCATTGAGCGGAAAATACACTATCACCGAACAACCTATGAAATACTATTTTGGTAAGAGTAAAAGGGTACTAGCATGCTTTTGAGAACCTTTGTGGAAGGAGCAAATTTTAGTATCTGCTTGATGTGTTAGGAAAGAAAAATTGGCCATAACTTGTGGATGACGATTTTAAACTTGGTATGTTTGAAGGAATGAAACAGAAAGCTCCAACAACGCGCACCGAAACTTTGCAGCAGAGAAGAAGGCTGCAACAGAACTGTAGCATGTATAGTTTCTTGATTCTGTCCTTTTCTCCACGACTTTACCAATTTGTACTACTTGGACTGAAATTATTAGGAGGATTTTATATTTAGATTCCATCCTAGTTACTTGGATGTTATTGTATTTGTACTTACGTATTATAATCATTATATATACTTAAAATAAGTTTAGGCACTACACGTCTGATTCCATAATTAGGCTCCTCCATAGCCATTTTTTTTAAAATCAATGCTTCACCACCACTGAAAAACACAGGAAAAACCCACGAAAAATTGATGCCAAAGTGCAGCAGCGGGTTGCAACCGCAATAAAAAATTAATGATTGAATTATGCCCGCTAGACCTGGCAATCGGGTCGGGTTGGGTAATTTTGGGTTGGGAATTTCGGGTTATGGGTCTTCACGGGTCGGGTCATGATGGATTTGTTGATTTCGGATCAAATATTGATCCAACCCATTGGGTTTCAGGTAGGGTTTCGGTTCATTTCTGGTCACGAGCGTTCTCAGAAAAAATATCAAACATGCTTCATATATTTTTAAAGAACACAAATTTTTACGTATGTGCGACAATAGTTTGCCTTGCACATGTCGGAGCACGCCCAGTCGTTAACTCTTCGCGCCGCTGCCGCCGTTTCTAGGACCGACCGACGCCTCACCTACACAGGTACCTACGTAGTGTAGTGTCGATCGCACATTCAACATAGCGTTCGGACTCATGTGCCTCCCAGACCCGATGAAAAAAATGGGATCACTTAAAGTCGTCATGGAGCAGCCAGGCCGCTATAAATTTGAACGGCTTTGGACCCGCAGGCTGGAATTGGGGATTCAGGGCAAGCAGTATAGGCCTATGATCACTCTTCACTCTGGGCAAATGGCGAACAACAGTGTCCGTGAACTTGTTGTAACTGGACCTTAGTACCTCTCAATGAGAGAACTTGCATCTTCTTACTAACTAAACAAAGGAAGGCATATAGACTCACTCCCTTACTTGGGAAGTCGTCCCGGTAAAGAGTGAAATCTGGCATCCAAACGGGCATCCAAGTGAAGCGTCTTCTTCTTTTGTAATTAAAAAAATTCATCTCCTTCCATGCTAATGAAAGGAGTTACAAATTGCACAAATTGTCAAAAAAACAATGACGAAAGTAATACTACTAAAATAAACAAATGATGTTTGATTATCATTACACTCCAAACTTGTCTTTCAAATTCTAATAAATGTTTTTAAACATCTCACCAAAGTATGAGTGATTTTATCATTTTGAGAGTGACATAGGCAATGAAACGGGTCTAGCGGGTCGATCCACAAACCAATCCAACCCAACCCAAAAACTACGGGTTAATCGGGTTCGGGTCATTCGAATTTCGGGTTATTAAAACCTCAACCCATTCTCTATTTTTCGGGCGAGTTCGGGTCGGGTCAACAGGTCGGATCCTCATTTGCCAGGTCTAATGCCCGCCCAAAAAAGGGGTATAGCAACGGTCGCACCGCTGCAAAAACCGGTGCGAAGTTTACCCCGGCGTTACTTAAAATTGCTACTAACCTTTGCTGACGGCCGCAAGAGTGGTTTGTAAGGTTAACTGATGTCTTAATGAAGCTTGGTTTCAAACATTCCTATGCTGACTATTCCGTTTTCAATTACACATCAAGTGCATATCATCTTTTCTTAGTCATTTATGTGGATGACATGATCCTAGCAAGCAGTAACATCAATTTGATTCAACAAGTGAAAGGATGGTTGCATAAGGAATTCAAAGTCAAGGATTTGGGAGAACTCAAGTATTTTCTCGGACTGGAGATACAGAAAAGTAAAGTAGGTATCTCTTTTGATAAGAGGATGTTCTGTCTGGAAATGCTTGCTAATGCAAGTTTCTTAAACAGCGAGCCTGCAAAAACTCCTCTGAGTATGAAGACTGTCATGTCTGCTGAAGATGGTATACCACTTGATGATGATGAAGGTTACATGCACTTGCTGGGCCAACTCCAGTACTTAATCACTACAAGGCTAGACATAGCATTCCCAATTCAACATCTGTCTCAATTTCAAGGTAGCCCCACTTCTACTCATTTGCAAGCTTTACACAGAGTGCTGAGATACTTGGAAGGGAGTCCTGGGCAAGGTTTATCATCTTCAGACTTAACCATAAGAGGTTACAGTGACTCTGATTGGGCCACGTGCCCTGACACAAGAAGGTCTGTTATAGGTTATTGTACATTCCTTCGAACTTCACTTATAACTTGGAAAAGTAAACAACAAACAACGATTTCAAGGTCCTCTTGTGAAGCGGAATATAGAGCACTGTAAAGTCCAGTGGATGAAAGGTTTGATGGACTTATTTCAAGTGTCACATCCTCAACCTATTCCTCTCTTTTGTGACAACCAATAAGCTATCTACATAGCTGAAAACCCGGCCAGTCTTCCATGAGCGGACAAAACACTTGGAGGTTGACTTGCATATTACTCTTGAAAGGTTGAAAGCTGGTTTGATCACCCTACAACATGTCTCCACTGAATATCAGCGAGCTGATGTCTTCACCAAGGGTTTGTCTGCAGATCAGTTTCATTTTCTATTGAGCAAGCTGGGTGTATTCGATCAATACACGCCAGCTTGAGGGGGCATGTGAAGATGGTCACCAAGTGGATCATCCCAGGTCAGCAGCAGGTTCACTTCACAAGCAAAGCTTCACCTCCTTCCGCTGCTGGCCAAGACGAACAAAGTTGTTCAATAATCCGTTGCGTTTCGGTGTAGATTAGCATTCTTTCTGTCATTTATTCCCTTGATTAAGTTCTGTACAGATTATATATTTACACCTAAGGCTGAATGGAAAGGCAAGAAGCCATTTCCCAAAACCCTACAGACTTTCTCTTCTTCCTTCATAAAGAAGGGTTCCAAACTTTCACAATAGGCGTCACTTGCACGAGCATGTGTCGGATAAGCAGAGCACTGGGAAGGGTGGAGTGGAAGCTTATTAGAAGGGAAGCAAATGTGGTAGCCCATATTATATTATGGCCCGAGTAGAGACATGTTGGGATGAAAGAGAAGTTTGGTTGGATCGCCCGCCGCTGATTTTACTTGATCATTGAACATTGATAATGTAACTGCCGTCTGCCTCTTCTGCCTGATAAACTACATACAAGTTCCTATATAAAAAAATATGATGTCTGGCGTAGTGGTGAACTTGATGACTTAAAGAAAAGAATGTCCATGGTTCAAGCATCACCAACCTCACTTAAAGATTCAACAGAAAAAAGTTGCATATGGGCTTTTGGTGTAGGATGGAACTCGGGAACATGAGGTATATATAGTCGAATCTCATTGCTGGTGTATATTTTTGGAGGACATTTGTGAAAGTGTTCGGAATTGGATTTCTGGTAAGACAAATAGGTTTTCTCGCTATTGATCGGATTTGAGTAAATTTTACAACCGATCTTTTGTAGTTGGTTTGATGATCGGTATCAATTGTACCCTATTAAACCGGCCGGTACGACACCCATTTGATAGCGGCGGATCTAGGACATAGTAGAGCACTGAGCCGCATTTCATTAGAAATTTAGATACCATAAAAATCATAATTTTTTTACAATATCAATTGTACACGTCGATCTTTTAAGATAGCGAATTCATCAATAATGGAGCGCACATCCATAACAATAGCATACTACTCTCCTTAAAAAAAATTAGTAAACCAATCAACGAGAAATTCATCGCTCATTTTGTTGCGCAAATCATATTTCACATGTTTTATTGTTGAAAATGTTTCTCTATAGTAGTTGTTGAAACGGGAATGTCAACACTAGACAAATCAATCGACTAATCAATTTGTATTTTGTGTTCATCCTTATTTCCACCAGCTGCTCTAGTAACTTTTCAAGGGAACAAACCTCATAGTTCTTTTAGGGCTTGTTTGCTTGATGGATTTGGTGAAGGATTTGATGATGGATTTGGATCTATCATGGACTTTGTCCAAAGTCTATTGTTTGCTTCATGTATTTGATGACAACAAATCCGTGGCCCCATGGACTTTAACACTCCGTTTCCGAAAGAGGGGAGGAAAATGAAGGGAAAAGAAAATTTGGAGGGGAGGGGAAAGGAGGGGAGAGAAAATGTAGAAGAAAGGAAAATGTTGTTTTATGAAAGAAAGTGAAGGAAAAAGTGAGATAAAAAAAGTTATTGGGAAGTGTAATGAATATGTTATTTTATTAGTTATGTAATAGTAAAATAATTTGTTATGTATTGATATAATTTTCATTACTTATAAATAGTGAATCAAATTTATTTCTACTAATTTGGTTTCTTATAAAGAAATTTCAATTTAAAAATGCCATTAATTTTAATCTTATTTAAAAATTTTCTCATAAAAATTGGATTACCTCTCATGTACAAGATTGACATCTATTACTTATAACCAGAAGAATCTCTTACAAGTGACTTAATCGATAAGCAATATTTAATGATATAAAATATTTAAATTACAATTAAACCATATTTTCAACATAAAATATCCTATCATGGATGTTTCTGGTTCAACTTCTAATACGTGACAAAAATTAGTTCAACCCACCAGAGACAATTTGGAATAAAACATAAATTATAATAAATAAAATCAAACCCAGTAAAGTGAGACTTTCTTACTCCTTCCGCCTCAGTAAATTTATTATAAAAAATCAAAATGTTAACACAATTAAAGGGCTTTGGTGTTTTCCGTCCTTTTCCTTCCAAATTGGAGTCACTAGTTCTACAGTACATTTTCTTTTGCAGTTTTCCCTCCTGTTTCTTTTCCTCCCTTCTAGAACAGGGGAAAGTGCATCGATAATCTAACTTTCCCTCCACTATTTTCCTTTCCTCAGCTTTCCCCCCTAAAAAAACAAAGTGTAAGGGTCCCACGGACTTGAAAATTCCATCTCTTAAGGTGAGACTTGATCATGGACTTTAAAGTTCATTATTTATGACCAAACTACCCTTCATTTTATCTTTCTCATCTCATACCAATGAGGGTAATGTAGGTCATTTTCACTTCTTGCACACAAATCTAATTAACCAAATCCATCATGAAATCAATGAAACAAACAATGGTATTTTACAAGTCCATAATGAACCCAAAACCTTCATATATCCATTGTTTTACAAAACCCAAGTTTTACCAAAACCTTCATTTTCCAAATCCATGAAGCAAAACGTTTTAGACTTTTAGGTTACATTGTTTGTTTTTCTTTAGAAGAGAATCATTGGAGCTAGAATTTTTAGGATAAATTTAGAGTTGTTATTTGAATATGTTTATCTAACCCATTTTCTCAATTACACACAATCTTATTATAAAATAACACTTGACCGAATGACTAAAATCGATAAACTCATAAGGGCTATACTAGCTCCGAACCCAGAGAAAGGCTGGGTCGTCGTAGCCTGGGGTGGCCACCCTGCATCGGCCACTGCCGTTTGACAACTATGATTAGAACAGATGAGAAATTTTACAATGCTATATAGTATCGGTGCTATAGGGTTTTGCTTTTATGGTACAATTTAAAATTATACATTTACGTTATGGTACAACTTCATATTGTACCTATACTTTTTGTACAAATTCTTTTATGGTACAACTTGAACTTGTAATTTTATGTGATGATACAACTTCAAGTTGTAAAGTTGTACCATAACATAATGATACAAATTGCTTTATGGTACAACCTAAACTTATAGGGTTAATTGCATGGTTGGTCACTGAGATTACAAAAAACGTTCAAGTTTGGTCACTCGAAATATTTAAATCCATTGGTGGTACTTCAGTTTACTGAAACCGTTCATGGTTGGTCACTCTCCGTCCAACTCCGTTAACTTTTGCTGATGTGGCAGTCAACTATAAAAGTTGACCGTTAACTTAGTGACGTGGCAACTAAAAAATTATTAAAAATAAAAAAATAAAAATTTATATTTTCCACCTCATTATTACATTCATTCAAAAATAAAAAATAAAAAACCTAATTTCTTTTATTTTAGAAAATGAGACTTGCTTCCCTGCTCTTCTTCATCGGCTGCGCCCCGCCACCTCCACCACTGCCGCTGCCGATTCCGATTGGCAGAACTTCAACGACAGGCGCCGACCAAAACCCTGATCAAACACCACAAACCCTTTCCAGATTTAGCACCGACGGCGGTGGATTTATCATCCGGCAGCATCGAAGACGACGTCGATGATGTCGAAACATCAAAATCAAGGCTGATGGAGATCCGGCAGCACCCGATCTCTTCCATCCTCTCGTTTTTGTCCGTTCTGGCTATAAGGTTATCTCTCGCGCTCTTCATGAATATAGATAGGTTTTAGGTTTCATTTTTGTTGTCGCATGCAATGGCCCTGTGTTTTAGCTTTGTGGCTGGTTCATAAGTAGGTTTCGCTCATCTGTATTTTGATATGGTGGCTTGTTGAATCTGAAGCAGCACAGCCGTTTATCTATTATATTTGTGAGTCTGTTGCTGATGCATTTTCAGTAGTTTGGTTGTGTATGCTAGCTTTTTGGAGACTGGAGTTAAGAGTTTTATACAGCTGTAGTTGAAGTTCTATTTTGGAAGAAATTGTACAAAGTAACTTACAATCTGTTGTTTCAGTTTCTAGTTTCTATAGTAAGTCCATTCCTCTGCCTTTTCTATTTGTAGTCTTCATCTTTGCTCTACGATTGAGATTGGCATATGCAATTCGTGAGTGAACTGTAATGTGTAGCATTCTTAGCCGAAATCTGGTTTTGGAACTCTGAACTCCTTCATTACCTTCTACTTTTGTTTGGGTGGCTCTCCCCTCTAAGAAATCTCCTTTATCATTGTCGCCATTACGAATTTCAATTTCCCCACCCCTAGCCTGCGCGCCAGAATAATCATTCATCACATATATATTATAATTACCTGCTCCGAATTGCTTCTTCAGTAACGAAAGAGAAGTACTAATTAAGCAAAATGCCAGGGGAGACTCTTATTCCCTCAATTTCCTTTTTCCTTCTGTCTTACTTTTGTCTTACAGTATTTGCGGATAGTTGTGGTAAACTATTTACTTTAACATTAGTGTTCCACTTTGCAATCTTTTGGTGTTTGGTTTGGTCCAGGGTGTTGTTTAAGTTGGGATGGGCATAATGTTTGCTCTGGTATGGATTAATAGCTTGAACAGTAGTTATCAGTAACAATACCATTCTCTTTATCCTTTGAAAAAGTTGCAGAATTTACTCTTTGTTGTTCATGCTGCGTTTGTACGTGCTGCACTTTGGGATAAGGTTCTCGTATCTTCGTTGTCGCGTCCTACAGTGTCGGGTGAGATGATGATACAATGATGATTATGCCTGTGGGCTGTGGCGAGGGCATCTTTGCTTTATCTAAAGGGCAATTATTATTTGCTAAATGCTGTCTAATTATTTAGTTCAGTTATGTCTTTAGATTATTCTTATTAATTTTCTGCCTATGGACTGAGGATTATGTCTCTGTCTTGCTCTCATGTACTACAGGCTATGTGATAATTCAGTGATTGTGTTTTTATTTCTTTTGTTTGGTTTGATTTTTTTATCGTTTGCTTATGAATACCATATTTATCGTGTACTACAGATGGTTTCGAGTTCAAGAAATTTGAGAAATGTGAGAATCGTTACTGAATCTAACATTCAAGAAAGTATTCAGCAAGGACACTCATTCTCCCAACGTGAAGAAGGATATGCTGATAACATTGGTATATTCCTGGTATTTTAGTCATATTATCTAATATAAATGTTTGGAAAATTGCTTACAAGTATATTTGATGCTAGGAGAAAATGTTGCAAACGGTAATAAACGAGGAAAGACAAGAGTGTAAGATATCTGGAATATGGACGCAAGTGAAAGGATCGATGTGGAGGTTGACGAATTTGGAGTTCCTTATGGTGAAGAGTCATGCTTGCTGTCATCCTTTCTTGGGACAATTGCGAAAAACAACACCTTGACTCCACTGTCGATTGAGAATTGGAAAAGAAAGGAGTTCAAACCATTTAAAAGACAGATACTAAGCCTTACCAAGGTAAAACCACTGCTGTACCCACAGTTTAATACCACTGTTGTTTCCTTTGGTTTATTCACTATATACTTATATTTCTTGGTCTTTCTTTGTGTAGTCAAAGTTCCGCTACCCTGTATGTTTAGAAAGGTGGATTTTGCAACTTGTTGACAAGAAATGGGTCGACTTCAAGTATGATTTAAAGAGCAAACACTTTGATGTTGGGAAAACGGTGGAAAGTATTATGGAAGAGGGACTTCCAGAAGGTGTTACAGATGCAAATCAGTGGTACACCTTGGTAGCTAGCTGGTTTTCCAAGGAAAACAAAGTAAACCCTATGTCCTGATAATGATGATGATTGGCTCATTAATTTCAACTTCATTCTGTTGAAATTCGAACCCATGTTGTTTGTGTATGCTTCCATGAATTGGGGTGACTAAAAGTACCAGTTCTGGTGCATTTGTTCTATTATTTTGCTGCTGCAATTTTTCTGCAGGGTTGTTCTTCTTTTATTCTTATGATTCTGCTGCTGCAATTTTTCTGTAGGGTTGTTCTTCTTTTATTCCTATGTCTTGTCCTTTTGCTAGTGATGTTGCCAGTTCAGTTATGTTGCTAGTTCAGAGTTAGAGTAGATATATAATAGTAAAAATCTTATTTGTGCAGAAAAGAAGTGCAGTAAACCGTGCTAATGCAAAGAAGAAGAATGTTTTTCACACAGGAGGAAGGAGGAGCATTGCAAGGACGAGAAAGCGACTGGTAAAACTTTATTTGTTTCTGTTTTGCTTTATGTACATTCTTATAAATAATATTATCAAATTTTGTTCTAATCTAAATTCTAATATGTTACAATGATTGCAGAAGGAAAAATTAGGCAGAACTCCTACTAGGCTTGAAGTTTTCGAAGCTAACCATAAGAGAAAGGATGGGACATACATCAATGATCATGCTAAGGAGTTCATGGTAATTCCTATGGTAGCTCCTACTCATATGTGAAATGAGAGACATAGTTTGCTTTAGTAGATTAGTAGTGTTGCTAGTGGTGTTTGGTATTTATCTAACATGTGATTTTGCTGCAGGATAAAGCAAATGAAATGGAGGGACCTAGTGAGGAGGTTTTCCAGAAGCTAGCAGGTCCAGAGCATCCTGGGAGGCTTCGATGCATATGGGGTTAGGGCCAACTCGATCAGAGCGCATATTTTGGAGTTTACTCGCGTGGGGTTGCATTTGGATCAAGCTCATGTTCATGTAGTCATTCGAGTGAAGATGTACCAACTTTGAAAGGAGAGTTAAGTGAGGTGAAGAAAAAAATGGAGGTCATGGCAAGGTTCATCAGTAAGCAATTTCCTGGGCAAAATTGGATGGAAGATGCTGAAAACAATCCGGTAATTTCTCTCCCCTCCTTCTCTCTTGTTTGAGGTAGTTTAGTAATAGGGTTGTAAAAGAGAAAAGGGTGAGGAGAATCCCATAGTGCAATTTGAGTCTATAAACCGACTAATATCGATGAATCAATGAATGAGTTGTGGGTTGTGGTTAGGCATAATGTTGATATTTCTTTTCCTTTTTTTCAGGGTGCCAGTACTGCCCCATCTTTGGGTTCTCGAGCTTCTTGATGCCGTGATGCTCTTAGATGAAGGATGTTGAATCATGAGTTTATCATGTAGGTTCTTTTGAGTAATATTCTAGTAGGTTGTTATGTTTTTATGGATTGCCAATGTTGTTAGTAGGGATTATATTATGGTACATGGAATTTTTGAGGTACGGATTATGGATCATGAATCATGGTACGGATTATGGAATATTGACGGTTTTGTATGGTATGTATTGTACGAATTAGTTAAGACGGTATGAATTTGGTCACTATTGTATATTAGGTTTTGACCACCAGTTTGTAGTGACTATAGTATTTGCAACCAGGTTTCTAGTTTTGGTGGTCCTATTTAGTGACAACTTTGAATTTATTTTTAGTGACAGCTTTGCATTCTCTTTAGGGACGGTCTGATATCGTCACAAATTATTTTTATATTAGCCACCAATTTAGCAGGGGTTTAAACCCTTGGAATAATGTAATTCAAATGAAGCTATAACATTCACTAACAAGGGTTATGACCGTAACTAATTTAACAACGCGTGTAGCAGGGGTTAGAACCCTTGGTATGAACATTTCTTTGTTGGATTTTGAACTGTCATGTAGCAGGGGTTCTACCCCTAGCTAGGAGTAGCTGCGGTTTTAACCCATGCTAAAACCCCTGGATGGTACTTCCACCATGGGTTTCTCAAAACCCTTGCTATCCATAGCAGGGACAGCATAGGTGAGGGTTGATTCAGGGGTTTTACAAACCCTTGCTACAATTTATAGCAGGGGTTAAAACCCCTGCTACAGGCCAATAAAACCCTTGGTATAGCTCCTTTTTTTGTAGTGTAAACTAACTTCCTAACAATTAAGGATGATTAGAAAGGTTAAAAAAAAAACTCATAACTATTTTGATGGAATATGATGGAACCAACGTCGATTTTGACACTGTACAGCTAAATCAACCTCCTCCACTCAGAAAGTCGTTGCTTCCCTCCCACCATCCGAGCTAGTCCCATAAACTCCATCATCAAATACATCGTCTTCTAAATCTCCAAACCTGGCGAATGTTGTGAAATCAAGACGCTTATCTTGAAATGCGAGGTGGCACGCAAAACCCCTCCCATCTGGATAGCCACGCCTACGCCTTGGCCAGAAACCCCAACTGCATGTAATTGGAATCGGCCTCAACCGCCCGAGCGCCAAGGTCGACGTATCCGCATCGGCAATGCACCATCAGCGCCATTCTGCTGCTCAACTTGTTGGTAACATGAACCGTCACAGGGTTATAATCCTCATCATCATCTGCTGCAGAATCTTGTATCAGTACTACCGTCGGCAGAACGACCGCCGGTAGTAGGAGTACTTTGCGGATCATAACCAGCTGCTCCATCGACATCACTGTTCGCTTTCCTGAAACTGGTGTTTGATAAGAATGATGATGAATTTGTGGTGTAGTACTGATCATTGGCGCAGTGGTTAGGTTTTTATAATACCACCGCATTCGTCGATGATAGGCAGTGAAGGTGCATGGGGATTATGGGGCTCTTGGCTACGTACGTCGCTTGGAAGTGCAGTATCTCCGGATTGTTTTCGGCAGCTTTGTCGTTTACTTTTTTTTGGGGGGATTTCTATATGTAGCCTGAAAACCCAAGGTTATATATGCTGGTGACTCGATGGATTTTGATAGTTTGGTTAGATTTATTAAACAAGTTTTGCAGAGGTTTTGGTGATATAGGTTGTGTTGGTTTAATTCAGGTCTATAGCTATCTTAGTTGGCGAGGGTTGTTGTCACTTGTCAACCATCATTTTTTGATGATATAACACAACTGATTTATAAAAAACATCAAAACAATATGTTACTATTAACTTATTAACTGGAGTTGGAATTAGCACTATGTTAACAAACTAGGTGTTATCACGCTTACTTTAGCCTAATATTTAGGAAGGGCAAACTCCACTTAAAACAAAAGACAGTTGAAAATAATATAAAAACAAGGATAAACAAGTCATCCCTTATGCATTCTAGAAACAGCCCAAACAGGCAAGTGTAAATGAAATTTCATTGTTTTTTAACCACCATTATGAATTTTCATATTCTGAAATTACCTACATTGTTTCTGTTGCAAATCAAACATTTTTCAATGTACACAACTAAAAAATCATTCATAAATCAGTCACTCAACTGATTTCTATGGATTAACTTGATAGCTGAAAAAGACCATTTCACAACTTGTAGGTGCAATAAGTGAAGTCAACACTAATTGGGGATAAGAAAGCTCAAAGGGTGGCGACAGGTGGCATCATGGAAGCTTGAACGGGAATAGGGAGGTCCGCAGCCCGAGCCCAAAACTTAAAGGGTGGAGCGGAGGGCAGAGAGTTGCGAGGCAAAAATTGGAGATTTTTCCCTCTCGCCACTCGACAAACAGAAAATGAGATGAAAAAAATGTGAATTAAAAAGGGCAAGAGTATAAGCAAGATTTTTATTGTTAGTGGAGATGGATTTTTCATATTTGACCAATCAAAAAGGATGAGTGGAATTAAAAGAAGGAAAGGAAATTGTGTGTTTTATTAAGGAAATAAATTTATTAAATTTTTTTATAATGAATAAAAATTAAAATATTGTAATAAAAGTGTGTCGATTAAAACTATATCATTGAAATTGTATCGACATAAATTTTATAAAAAAAAATTCAAGCAGAACCGGTACACTTCTCCCACAGTTAAATAGGGGTGTCCTCTTTCAAAAAATAAAGTAAAATAAAAATTAAATAATTTATAATTAATAATTAATAAAAATTATATTAATATTAAATAAGAAAATACCCAACTCGTAGAAGTTAAAAAAAATCAATAATGTATTTTCATATTCTAAAAAAAAATTATAAAATACACTTGGTGTCTACACTGCTCAACAAATTTGTCTCGGTATATCCTACTAGACAATCATTCACGAACTAACGCATATTTGACTTCTAAATTTGTTCATGATGTAACTCAAAGTTGAAAAAACACTTTTAACACTTGTCGTACAACCATAAAATCAATACAAATTAAGGGTAGCTTGTAATTAGATTAATTGTTAGGTTTTGAAAATAATTAAAGATAGAGAATAGGATTTTGCTATTACGCATTGTTTAGAATATAACAACAAAAAAGTTGTAGCCTAATGGAAATTATATTTATTAGTAATAGTAGTGTCTCGGTTTGAATTACTCAAACTACCACTTATATTCCCTTACGCAACTACAAACGAGAATAGTATAATCGTTCTTTTAAATTTCAGGGTGTCCCAGACTATTAATTATAATTTTTTGTCTATATATAAATTACCATCGGAGATTAAATAATCGATCTTCCAAATTTTAGGAGTGTCATAAATGGCCATGGTTCGCCCCTGCCGGTGGTAGTGGAAGTTCCTCTAGCTGCTACACCATCCAAGTTTGGGGAGTAGGACTTCTCAATTATAAGTTCTCTGCGTGTCAAGTAGGGGTGTCAATCGGTTGGTTTCGGTTTAACGGTTTCGGTTTAACGGAAAACTGATTTTCTGGTTATCAGTTAAATCGAGTCGTCCCCTATGCCTGTCGAGCACCGACCGTGAGGGAAGCCACTTTTAGCCGAGCACCGACCAACCGGTTTTTGGTTTTGGTTCGGTTATCCACAATTAACCGAGTTTATTGAGAGGGAAAAAAAACCAACTCCACCCACTTTCTCTTTTCTGCTCTCTTGTAACCAACTACCAAGCAATAAAAAATTAAAAAGAAAGAAAGAGAAGAACCAAGTCACACCACATGTTCTTTATCTTCTTCTTCTCTCCTCCTTTTTTCCCCAAGAATAATAAAAACAAAATCAGACTTCTCCTCTCCCCTCTCTTCCACTGCTACCCTCCAAACCCCTTCTTCTTCCTCTCTCCTCTCTCTACCTCTATGAAGGACGAGGAGCAGCAGCGGCGGCAATTGGCGGGAAGAGCACGGTCGGAGATGGACGAATCGATGCCTGAGGCGGAGGCGACGATGGTGGTGAAGTGGAAGAGCGGAGGCGACGAAGGCGTAGATGACGGAAGCCGAGGTGGGACGAGCGTGGCGACGGAAGAGGACGAGCAACGGCCGACGATGTGGTCTCGGAAGAGGAGGGCATTCTGGAGAAGGGAGGCGCGGCGCGTGGTGAATGGAAGGGAAGGGAAGGTTTTTTATTTTTGGAATTACGGTTTTTCTATAAGATTGGGAAAAAGGAGGAGTCAGAATGGAAGGGTGTGAAGACTGCAGTGTTTCTGGGTTTTTGGAGGGAGGCGGCGGAGGTCTAATGTTGGGATGGAGGTCGGTTAGCTCCGGTTAGTCGGGTAATCGCGGTTAACTGCCTCTAGTTACTCAGATAACCGCAGTCAATCCCTCCCCCTCTGAACACCGACCGACCCTTATTTCCCGTCTGTTTTCGGTTAGCCGCTAACCAGTAATTTCGGTTGAATCGGCCGGTTAGCCGCTAACCGACAACCGAACTGCCACCCCTAGTGTCAAGGGCAATGCATATCTATGGGGATCGTATTAGGTGCTAACTCCTAATGGGGTTAGCACCATACTAACTAAATGATAATTTAGTAAATATACCATCAAACCCTAATATAAATACAATTTTTTCTACCCTCCTTCCCCATCCGCCCACCCCTCTCACTCTCTCTCTCCCTCTAAAAAATCCAGAACCCCTTCTCTCTCTAGAAACTCTGATCTCCGTCGATTCTCCTTCCGGTCGACTACGCCTTCATCGATCTTAGTCGCGCCGGCCTCAGCCTCCCCGGCAACGGACTCACCATCGCCCGCAACCTCTTCGCCCGGAGCCACCTCGACATCGCCAACCGCCTCGCCATCAACCGCAACTGCCTCGCTATCACCTGTAAGCGTTCACCGCCATCGCCATCACCTGCAGCGATTCGATAAAACCAGATCTGGGAAGAGGTTGTCGTTCGATGGAGAGAAACGAGCATGCGCCGCCCTTGCCTGCGTTGGCTTTCCACCACTACTGTCGTCAATCGCTCACGGATAGCATGCCGGGAAAAAATGAGAAATTTTTGTTAGATCTATATTATTATTTGATCAATAGTGATTTTGGGTTTGTAGTGATTGTGGAGTAGTGATTTTCATATGTATTAGCAGTTGAGCATCATATTTGTACGACAGTAGTGTTTTTTCTTTGATGTGTAGTTATTCCAGTAGTGGTTTACTGGAATAACTAATCGTATTAGTAGTGATTATGTTATCATTACTTTCTAAAGTTCACCCATCATGAGTAACTTAAAATTTCTAAATCACTACTAATTACAATTAAATCACTACAAGAACAAATAAAATTGCTAATAGAACCACCAAAATCACTACCAATGAATGTAGCAGTAGTTTACGGTACTATTTTTCAGGCCTACTACTAAAAGGAAGGTAAAATATTTTAAAATTTAATTTATTAATTAAATTAATTTTTTGATATACCGAATATGCCCCTCCTTGTTCTCCAGCATCATATTTTAATTAAAAATAATAAACAGTGATTATTGTAGTTAGTACGGTGCTAACTTCAACGAAGTTAGCATTGAAGTTAGCACTCTAACCAGTCCCATATCTATGGATCCACAGAACGGATAAGTGAAAGTCAAATCTCATCTCCATTCTCGATCGGCATCTAGCACAAGGTCAAACCTCAAAAGGTAGGCGAGCCGGCCTCAAGCCACGTGCCTCACATGCTTTCCCTCCAAACTTCCAGCCATTGGAGCAAATAAACAAACTGTAGTAGCCGCACTAGCCTTAGATTTGAAATAAGCAGCTTCCTTCCTTCCTCTTAATTTCCCTGGATCTCTAAGTTAGCATTAAATGTTGTGTAATAGTTTGGTCCGCATGATTAAAAAATGACATTCGATCAAACTAAATTATATATGAATGTAATATACCTTCTAATTTTCGATCACGAATGTTAGAGAAAAATGATCAAATTTATACTAAGATCGAACCAAATCATAAGGCCGTCGAACCACTTAGGTGATCGATCCGATTCTAGTCTAAACCTTTTTATTATTGTTGGATTTACACCACGCCTAATTGCTACCCTGTCTTTCGTTTATTTTGTAAATGGCATCAATAAGTAATTATAATCACCGGTGCTATATTCATTCATAAATAAAAAATAAATAAACACATTGACCAGTGGCCAACATATGGGTCGGAGAAATGGAGAGAAATGGAGGAGGAGATAAAGACGGCAGAAGAAGTGCCACTTCTCATTCTTCCCACCACGTGATCCCATGTACGTACACTTAATTTGCTCATCCACATCCCAATATAATTAACCTAATTAATGCCCCTTTATATGATGCCAGTTTTCTCTCGACTTTAGCTTGCATCCATCCTCCTTCTTCATTACCATGGCGTCCATGGCTCGGTGGAGCTTCCTCTTGCTAGCTCTCCTATGCGCCGCCGTCCTCCCAACACTAACCACCTCCAAGTACGTTGGGAAACCCTTCGTCGTCCGCGGCCGCGTGTACTGCGACACCTGCCGCTGCGGCTTCGAGACCAACAAGACTACTTACATCCCCGGTACGTACTATACCCTATAATATCTCCTTCCCGCACAACAACTCGAGTTATTGAGATCAACGGTGTGAAATATGTATGGAATGCGGCGGCGCGCAGGTGCGATGGTGGCGATCAAGTGCTTCGACAGGAAGACGATGAACCTCAAGTACCGCGACACGGCCGTGACGGACAAGCACGGCCGCTACGAGATGACGGTGCAGGACGACCACGAGGACCAGCTGTGCCGGACGGTGCTGGTGAGCAGCCCCTGGGGATACTGCAAGGTCCCCGACGAGGGCCGCCGCAGGTCGGAGGTGATCTTGACCAGGTCCAACGGGGCAGTCTCCAACCTCCACTTCGCCAATGCCATGGGGTTCGTCAAGGAAGAGGCCGAGGAAGGTTGCAAGGAGCTCGTCCACCACCTCCTTTACGCCGATGTTTGAAAAAAACTCTCTGACGATGATTAATTAATTGGTTGATTGTTATTTCACTACACCGTACACCTTCATTATTGTTAGCTTTTACGTCGACCGTACGTCGTGACGAATAATCGAACGATCAATGGCTTATTGGTTCGTAATAATTTATATAATTATAGTATCGTGTAATGCATGACTGAGATTTTTAGATGATGGCACTAGCTACCTACTTATGTTGCGTAATGTGGTAATTGGAGATGGAGGATATGTTGTCGTGAATTTAGTAACTTGAAATCATAAATATATAGAATTTGTTAAACTCTTTAATATCATATCATGTTTAACTCGATTTAATCGGATCGAATTATGTTAGAGTATGTCCATAAAATGACATTGTATTGTTTTTTGGTACATTGGATGGGTCAATGTTTTAACTAAAATTTACACCCGACCCAACTTGTTAATTATAAAAGTGGATAAAACTTGCCCAAACCAAAAACTTGTTAACACCATGTTCATCTCACTTTGATCATGTTGAATTAGATTGTATATCATGTAGAATTTTATGATGCGGAAGAACGAAAGAACACAGAACAATGTGTTTTACGTGGTATCCCTGTTCGACGTGAACATGACTAATCCACAGTTGAGCTCTACGAGCTCAAGGCTGATATCTTATTAGGATTACATCTTGACGACTTGCTATCACACAAGTCGATAGCTAAGCTTATATAGAGATAGACTAGGGTAAAACCCTAACGAGAAGAGTCGAGTACGACCAATTATCTTTACCTCCTACAACTCGGACAAGGCCCATGACTCACACGGTTTCATTAACCGCAACACTCCCCCTCAAGCGAAGACATGAATGACAAGAATGTCGAGCTTAAAAAAGGAAATGTTAAGAACAAGCATGATGGCTTGAACAACACAACTCGAGATGAATAACATCTCGGGCGAGGTTGATTGGAGACGACTGACTCTCTCTCTCTGAACAACCTGATGATGAAGACGGTTGACTGTGTCTCTTGAACTTGAACACACTTGGTACATCGCGGTCGACCTGATATCAATGAAAATTCTCAACGTCAAAATTTTTCAAACCATCGTACTGGAAAATATTATATGCGAGGTCGAGTTTGTGTGGACGAGTTATACTTGTGATAGTTCAAATTGATGAGACTAATTGTGATAGAGTCGTCAACTACTTTCACTTTCCGAAAAAAAAATATTTCCACCCTCCATAAGCCTTGACTCACTCTCCGAGTCATATAGAACTCTCCCTATATGATGCATGCAATGGATAAAAAATCTCAAATCTCAAATTTGTAATAAAAAAAGTTAATTTCAAATAATTTATTTAAGAAAATCTAAATATTACTTCCAATAGGCTGGTATATGCTACTGATATATATGGTCAACAAATTGCATGACGATTTCCCACACAAACTTTGAAATGGCGACTAATTAATAATAGAATCGTTGTCCTGCCTCCTTGTGAGACTCCCCTCCACCTTCAATTTCTGGCTTCCATTCCCGCGAAACCATAGGCCCCATTTTCTCATCCTCAAACAAACAGATCTCGCGCAAAAAAAAAAAAAAAAAAAAAACAACAACAACAAAAGATCTTGGTTGCACAATTAGCCTAGAACGACAAAAAAAAAACCCCATATTGTTAAAAACAATTGACAGATAACACAAAGATAAACAGAAAATGAAATTGGAGAAGACACATATGAAACCGAGAAGCACCCATTTATTTGTTTAATAGCTTCATGCTCTTGTTTAATTACCTTGATCAAAACAAATCTTTCGAATATAATTTTTCTCTCTTTCATTGTCGATTCTGTGAGCTTTTTTTTGTGTAGTAAAATCTCTACGAGCTAGGTTGGTTCACTGTGGTGGGAGAAAACAAGAAAACCCATGAATGAGTTCAAATGCCATGACCAAGAGCCCTACAAGCTCCAATCATAGCACCCCTGATAACTTTGTTAGGGGTGGCGACAGGAAGAAGAAGGTAACTCATTATTAGCCCTTTTCATTTGTCATTTCATCAATTATATCATCTGATTTCCGAAAATGGGATTTATATATATATGCAGTCAATAATCCCAAAGATCTTCAGCTCGAAGAAAATCAGCAGGGCAGGATCCAGCGACGACATTATTGGATTAGATGGCGAAGGACCTTCCCCGGAAGAGAACCAAGATTTGTCCAAGAGAAAATCGCCGGTGGATTCGACTGCTTTAACGCACAAAAGCTTCTCAGGTAGTGTACCCTCGATTTTATGCCTTCTCACACTTTAGGCCGATTAAACTTTTTTCTCGTAGATCAATTGACATAATTTACGTCCAAATGGGAATGAAGGGTCATCAATGTCAAAACAACATGTGTTATATTTCTTAGTAGGAAAGTATGGTGAATGATCATTTTTTATCCATCTCCACCAGAAAGAGGGACGAGTCCTGGAATTGAAGGCCTGAACCTGTCCAACTTCGAGCAGTCCATAACCTCCACCTCAGAAGTCAAAGAATTTCGGTACCCCGAAAAAACAAAATCCTTCTCGTTCATGGTTGCTTGTTGATTTTTGGGTTTAGCTAGCCAGACTGTTGTTACCATTCCATCGAGCATTAACCAACAAAATCGTATCAGGATTTATGTCACAACATGGAACGTTGGAGGCAGGACACCTGATGCCAGCCTGAACCTTGAAGATTTCCTCCAAGTCGATGAATCCCCTGACTTATACGTTTGTGGGTATGAATGTTGTGGGAAGAAATTAAGGTAATCTTTATGGCCAAGCAACCTTGGATTATTTGCTAACTCAATCTATATCCCCTTCTCTTGCTTCAGGTTTCAGGAAATCGTTCCACTCAGCGCAGGAAACGTGCTGGTGATTGAAGACAGTGAGCCAGCAGCAAAATGGCTGACACTCATAAGCCAAACGATCAATAGGACGACGACGAACAACAACGTTGTTCCCCCAGGCTCTCCAGTTGTGGGTCAACTTTCCTCCAAGGCTCAAAACAAGGAATCGAAGTCCTACAACTTCTTCCAAAAGCCATCTGTGAAGGTCCTGACCAAAAACCTGATGGCAGACGCCAACCTACTGAAGATCTGCAACTGTGCTTCTGATCTTCCCACAAGAGAGAGGCAGAAGCGTGGGAAAGAGTTCAGTGGGCCGCTGACCATGACCAACCGCAGCATGGGGAGTCAGGATTTCGGATTGGACGACGAATGCCCTTCTAATGAACCTGCAACTGCTCAGGCTTCCAACACCAACAACCAAATGGTCTATACCCTAGTAAGTTGCAAGCAGATGGTCGGGATTTTCCTGTCGATTTGGGCTAGGAAGGAGTTGGTGCCACACATTGGTCATCTCAGGACGACGTCGTGTGGGACCGGGATCATGGGTTGCCTCGGCAACAAGGTTAGTTATTAGTACAGATTGCAAACAGAAGAGTGATCATCTACTGGTTCAAATTCAAACCCACTCAAATAGGCGCAAAAGTGTCCTCAAAATATTTTCGTCGCGCATATCACAATTTCAATTACATCCAACTTAATTGTGTGCAGGGATGCATTGCTATAAGCATGTCGTTGCATCGGACGAGCTTTTGCTTTGTGTGCAGTCATTTGGCTTCAGGGGAGAAGGAAGGGGATGAACTGAAGAGGAATGCTGATGTTGCTGAGATCCTGAGGAGCATTCAGTTCCCCAAGATTTGCAAGAACCAAATCAATCGAGCCCCGGAAAAAATTATTGAGCATGAGTATGTTGCTGTTTTTTTCTTTGTTACCAAATCTTTTGCACATTGCCTAATTTTCATATGTTTCAGTACCCTCCTTCTTTACTCTTTGAAATGTCTGCAGTCGAGTGTTTTGGTTCGGAGACCTGAACTACAGGATATCGCTGAGCTACGAGGAAACAAAAGTCTTGGTTGAAGAGAATGATTGGGACACCCTTCTTGACAAGGACCAACTGAATATGGAGAGAGAAGCAGGGAGGGTGTTTGATGATTTCTATGAAGGCAGGATTATGTTTGCTCCCACGTACAAATACGCACAGAACTCAGACTCCTACGCTGGAGAAATTGTGAAGAACAAGAAGAACCGTAGAACTCCCGCATGGTAATAATGAACGAACAGTATGCAGTATGTCACATTGCATTAACCCACACGAATTAACGATCGTGATCATGACTATGGCAGGTGCGATCGAGTGCTATGGCGGGGAGAAGGGATGGAGCAAATGTCGTACGTAAGAGTGGAGTACAGATTTTCAGATCATAGGCCGGTTTGCACAATTTTCTCGGTTGAGGTGGAAATGAGCGCTGTAAGAAGCAGCAACAACAAGTTCAGGAAAGGCTACTCTTGTACAGCTCCAAGGGTTCAATACGACAATGACTAACTCCCAAAGACACGGCTTCTATGGCTACTAGTACTCTTATCTAACTAACTAATGACATCCCAACAAACAGAAGAAAATGGGGTAAAAATGGAGGAACGCTTTAGGGATCAACATATATAGATTCTCTTCTTGTATAGTATTCAACATATATAGACTCTCTTTTCTTGTATAGTATAATTTCACTTAAACTAGGTTTCTCTATGTAAACCCCACATTTCTCATCCTCTCGTGGAGTTGCAATCATACCGACACTAATGCATTGAATCGCGTTAGAACCCTCTAGCCGCATTTCTACATTTGATTCAACAACCGACTTCATTTTCACTATACAAATGTGATCCATGACACACGGCAGCAGCTAGATTGGATTTTAGCTTGAGCTAGTTGGTTCGACATATCCCAAATCCCAGATTGAAGTTGAATCTGCGCCATTATTGTGACTATGGGTACAGATTCAAGTCCAATTCATGTTCCGGCCTTACACGCCCTAACCCTGTTGTCTCCGGCTGCAAAGCCAATTCTTCTATTCCGCTACCGCTACCGCTGCCACTCCAGTACTCTGAAGCTTCCCCTGTTTCCAACGCATACAGGTCACCTCCGCCATAGACATTAACACTTTCCAGCACCATATCAACCCAATCGGTCACATTCAGCTCACTACTCACTGGAGCTGTAATTAGTGGCAGGCTGAACAACGGATAGTAGTCGTTCCCGTCGCTGTCGCTGGTTTCCAAACTGGTGTGTGTCTCAAAAGGAAGCTTCTCTAGATAAGCACACTCCAATTGCTTCGTCCACAAGTCGAAGGAATCCAAGTTCAAGTTGTATAAGGAAGGATTTAGCCGACTTTTAGAGGGAAAATACTAGAAAATACCCTCTTGTAACTAATATCAATAGAAGGTTAGGCTATAACTTTTATACACACCTTTTACCAGTATTCTGCCCAGGGGCACGAGTTAGAAATCCATAGAGAGACGGCCAAACTCTGATGGAGCTCGGCGAGGAGTCTTCAACATCGATGCATGTATCATTGGTGATGTTTTCCTATTCTCCTATGCATAGCTAGCTCAAAATTGTTTAGGGATATAACTCATCGATGCTTGAGTTAATTTATTTTTGTATCATCTATTGCTTGAGATTTTCGATGCTATTGTCAGTGTCTTCTTCAGTTAATCAATGCCTATGATTATATTGTATGCTACTATATGCATTGTGCTTAGTACTGTCTAGGTTGTCAAGTAATTACCCTCTAGTGATACCCATTGATGATAGGAGTTTATGAGAGGAGTGATTCACGAATAATCCACATACCAAGGCATCCAACATTGGAAACATCCGGGAGGAAGAGTTCGAGTATGATGACCCCCCTACACCTCTTATTTGAAGTTCAACAAAATACTTGGAACCAAGCATTGGACAAAATATCGTGGAGGAGAACTCAAACAAGGATGATCAACCTCAAATGAAGCACGAATGAGAGTAGCCACTAGAGGAGCACTCATCTCACATATCTAACTAAAGGAGCCTCAAGTGGAGCCACCTATCATAGATGTTGATGATGAGACCAAAATGGAATCCAACCTAGGAGAGGAGCAATATACCAGCACCATTCAAGAGATCGTGAAGGAGTTCATCGAATAAGAAATATCCTCCAGCTCAATGGACTATACTTCAAGCCACACCCATCATGAGTTCAAGTCGAGTTGGAAGGAAGTAATTGACGAAGACTACATGATCTTGGAGCAGAAGGAACTTCTACATCATCTTCTACAACAATGTAAGAAAAACAAGGAGTACTAATTCCACCTACTATAAGTAATAAAGTTCTATGCATAGAAGAACCAAACTCTGAAGTGGATGGACCCCTTCAAAATTCTCTTACATCATCTTCTCAAGGATCTATACAAACCTTGGAGAATAAGAGCTTTGAGAAAGTAAGAGTAGAGCATGAAGAGTTCACCAGTTACAAAGGAACTTTTGATGAAAAGATGTAAGATGATATTCCTAAAGTTGGAGACCGTGAGGAAAGCTACACAATCTTGGTGGAGATGCATTATACAGTCAAGCCAGATCTTATTGACTACTTGATGAGCATCTCTTTGCATCATTTCTAGATATCCATGAGACTGTAGTGTCATAATCAGTGGCAGACCCAGGAATTTTACGTAGGGGTGTCCTCTTTTAAAAAAGAAATTAAATAAAAAAAGAAATTAAATAATTCTTAACAAACAAGGTCCCTGACTTGTACAAGTTAAATATAAGTCCACAATGTATTTTTCATATTCGATAATAATTGTAGAATACACTTGGTATCTACATTGCTAAAAAAATTGTCTCTATATATCCTACTAGACAATCATTCACACACTAATAGCATATTCAATTTCTAAACTTGTTCTTGATATAACCCTAAGTTGAAAAGAATCTTTCAACACTTGTCGTACAACATAAAATCAGTACAAATTCAAGGTAGCTTGAAGTTAGTTTAATTGTTAAGTTTTGAAAATAATTAGAGATATAGAATGATATTTTACTATTACACAGTGTTTAAAATCAAACAACAAATGAGTTGTAGCCTAATAAAAGTATGATTATTATTAATAATATTGTCTTAGATTTGAATTATCCAAACTACCATTTATATTCTCATACGCAGACTAAAAAATGAGAGTAAGATAATCATGTTTTCAAATTTCAGGGGTGTCCCCAACTATCAATTATAACTTTTTTGTAAATATGTAAATTACTGTCGGGATTGTAAAATCATTTTCCCAAAATTTAGGGGTGTCCTTTGACCCACAAAGACCCCTCGGCCAGCCCCATGTCATAATTAACCCAAAGAGTGGGAAAACCTCCTTGTATTGTCACCTCTATCACATGTCTAATGCTTATAAATCAAAGTGCGGGGTACAAGGTACAAGATGGACACTAAGGTGGTTTCTACTTCATGATCCACTATCCAGCCAAAGGAGAAAGAAGGTTAGAAACCAACTGGAGCCTACAATCAAGATAATGTACTTCATGGAAGTCCTAAGTTGGGGAGCTTGAAGAACAAGTTGCTATCCCTAGATCAAAGACATAAAAGAAAGAGTGTTTCATGGGAGGCAATCCATGTCTGGAATCCAACTTAAGGATGTAAAATAAAAGTGCTAGCAACAAGACAAGCCGGATTTTGTGCCTATTATGATTATTTTCATATTCATGTTGAGGAGAAGAAGCACTTGCTCTCTTTCTGTTTTGTTGCTTTCGCATTCTGTTGTTTTTTTAACAAAACTCATAGGAAAATAAAATTGAGAAATGGAGTACGAAGAAGGACGACGGGTCGAACAACCGCTATCACCCGACGTGCCGTTTCCTGGTCTACGTGCCGTTTGCTGCCATGGAAGGACTGCACTTGTTTCTTATGGTAAATCCTGCATTCCTTTCTCACCTCTTAAGCCATCAGACTACAAACTCAGTAGTTTACCTTTTCTATGTGACTCTGTCAGAACCTGGGGAAAATGTGACAAAGGTCATAACTTGGAAGAGAACAACATCATCAAGGTCATCCGCGTATCGAAACCCACTCGCCAATGGGGCAAAAGATGATGTCTCTGGTAGTGGTAGTGAATTTATTGAGGAGTTCTACATGATTTCAGGAAGCCATTCCTCCACCCTTGACCGACTATATGCTTGGGAAAGAAAACTTTATGATGAAGTTAAGGTACAACACTCCCGCAAGTTGTGTTCTTGATACTAGTTTTCTTGCGGGGCATTTTATATGATGGTTCAGAAAATCGACTACTTTGAGCCTCTTGCTGAACTGTAACTGGCTTTAATCACATACTCGCATTGTTGCATTCTGCTCCAGGCCAGTGAATGTATTAGGAAGGAGTACGATCAAAAGTGTGATAAGCTGAGACAGCAATTTGCAAAAGATCATAGTGTACAAGTTATCGACATGACTAGGGAGGTAGTGAATGACCTACACTCACGGATAAGAGTCAGCAATTCATTCCGTCGACTCGATATCAAAAAGAATCGAGAAGATGAGGGACGAAGAACTGCATCCTCAACTCCTGGAGCTAGTTCAAGGGTGAAGTCATAGCGAGTTCGAGAACTTGTTAGCATGTTCATTTGGTGCTTGTTTGTTTACCAGATTTTTTGACAGTGATGTGTGTATGACAGGTTAATCCGAATGTGGAAGGCCATGCTGGAAATGTCACCATGCACAGTACATTACCATCTCCTTAGCATACCATTCGAGAATGACTACAGCGACAGCAACAACACCACAGGGCGACACCCGACGAGAAGCCTTGTCCCAGCTAGTGCAAGAGATCGAATGTTTCGGGTTAGGGTTTGCAAACTGGGTTAATAGCCATACATCATATGTCCAAGCTCTTAACGGGTGGCTGCAGCACTGCATCATTCAACAACCACAAGAGCGGTCGAAGAACAGGAAGCCTTTCTCCCCACGTAGAGTTCTGGCCCCACCTATCTTTGTTCTCTGCCGGGATTGGTCTGTAGGCATCAAATCCTTGCCATCTGAGGAACTCTGCAATGCTATAAAATCATTCCTGGCCGACTTGGATCAGTTAATGCGTCATCAACAGACTGCAGAAAAGAATGATGGTGATGAAGCCCACCAAGAAACAGAGACCAAAGTTGACGGTGAGAAGAATAATGAGAATGTATCTGCAAACTTGAGCGGCATCCACGCCAGTCTAGCAAATGTTCTAGATAAACTAAACAAGTTTTCTGAAGCTTCTCTGAAAATGTACGAGGATATTAGGCAAAAGAGTGAAACTGCGCGAGTTGCATACTCAACTTGCAGACCGGTTAGATTCTGAAGCTGTCGTAATGACGATATGTATAAGCTGGCAGCATTCTGAATTCGCTAGAGATATATAATGAAAATATAACTCTCTTCTAAATGTTAAGTAATGAAGAAAGTATAATTGAAAAGTAAACTATTTTATGTTCTACAGTACTTATATTCCCGTAGTAAATCTCAGTAACTCGTATATATGTTGAATATAATTGGTACAAAGTTTAAGATGCAAATCCTGTATATCTGTCGAGCTCCTTCGTCCTTCCCCAGTTCTTCGTTCCTCATGCTAACCAACTTGAGCTTCAATGGTGAATGTCTATATATGATATAAAATACCTATAACTATCTCCAGCTTGAATTCCACTGTAAGCACTATACTTATGGCGACGGGTACCGAATTTCTAGAATCCAACATAATTGGTATACTGAGAATAAGCTTCTGACTGCATTGCAATTGGTGCCCTGGTGACATTATCTGGAAGATCAAATGCATCTACCAATTCCCTCGCCACATTCCTAACCTGGAAACTCAAGTAATCTGCCAGCTTGTGGATTGCCTGCACCGCAAGGAACATGAACAAAATAAGAGAAGTCTTTCTTTTGGATTTACAGGCCTTCAGCTTCGAGAAGTTCTTTCAAAACTTAATGGATAAAAAGGAGATACCATGCAGAGTCTTGAACTGAAACTGAAGAATCACCATCAAAATTAAATTACCTTAGCTTTGTTTGGTGCAACGTAGTCAACATTGCGGTAAGTTCCAATATCATTCCATATTCTGTTCAAGGCGTAGAGATCGCACACAAGTTTCAGAGCAGAACGTGCACTTGGATCCGGACAGCTATTAGCACAGAAAAAACAAGGTAGAGACATTAGCAAAACAGTTATCTAGATGCACGAAGGATCATAGCAAACTAGAAGGTCTGGTATAAGTAGTACTTCTGCACAGCTTCAATGAACTTTGCAAGGATGACAGTCTCAATATGAGATTCGGCAAGGGTGAGAAGATGATTCAAGCACCGGTTCCAAGCACCAAACCCTCCAAGTGTCGTAGAGTGCTTGCGAAGACGGACTGCAACACTTTGGAGCAATCGAGATGTTCGGTACTGAAAAAGACATGCACGAATATTGTTGTTAAATCTGCTTGGAGATGTATTAATACGTTTAAGCTAGTGAAAATTAAGCACTACTAACTCTGAAAGCATCCAATTGGAACTTAGGATCGCGCAAGTGATCTTCGCCTTCCCATCGTGCCGTTACTGGGTTTGGCTGAGATAAGTATGAATTCATCGACTCTCTTAGATAGTTCCATGTCACTGTCAGAGCCCCGCCTTGGAACTTCTCCTGGTACCTCTTCAAGAGATCGCCTGCAACCTGCATTCCATATTTTATTAGAACTGAAGAAAAATGTGTTCCACTGGATATTTTTTCGCTTGCTAGAGTGAATTGCAAAACTACCTGCTGGAGGAGCACCGTGTTATCCCCTTCAAATGTCTGGAAAATATCATGATCATTTCTCAGAGTACCAAACCGATTTACAGCAGCATATCCATGGCCACCACAAGATTCCCTGCACACATTCAGCGACCGAGCAGTATACGACGTCACATAAGCTTTGAGTCCCGCCGACAGTGCATGGACATCTCCAACCAACTGTTCGTCGTGAGTTCGTTTCATCTCAGCATACTTCTCCACCAAATAGGACGTAGCAAAGTGGAAAGCATAAGTTGAAGCGAGCATGGGCATGAGCTTGTGCTGGTGAGACTGATAATCAAGGATGCTGACTTCAGGCTTTCTAGGCGGGCCAAACTGCTGACGTAGCAATGAATAACGGATAGCGATTGTACCAGCAAGCTTGAGAACTGCTACAGAGGAATACGCTAGCCCCACTCTTCCTCCCACGAGCTCGCCAAGCGTAGCAGCAAATCTTTTGTTTACAGTGGGAAGGGAACTTGTGTACTTTCCATCTCGAGAGACGTCACCGAATCTGTTGAGGAGATTGTCACGAGGGATCCTTACTGAGTTGAATCTCAGTGCTCCATTGTCTACGCCATTGAGGCCAACCTTTTGGCCACAATCGTGTATCTCGACACCCGGAAGCGTTTCGTGTGTGTCTAGATGCCGTATGGGGACAATGAATGCATGAACACCCATGTCTGAAACTTCCTTGGAGTCATGAGATGGAAGCATTAGTCGGGCGAAAACACTGGCCAATTTCCCATGAACTGCAGCATTACCAATCCACCATTTTATGGCCCCATCGTTTGGGGTGTTAATTATGAATTCGTCGGTTATTGGGTCAAATGTTGCGGTAGTTTGCAGTGCCTGCACGTTTGAGCCTTTGGATGGAGCACAAGGAGCAGGAAAATATTGTCAGACATGTGAATTTTCCATTTATATGCATGGAGTTACAGAACATGCAAACAACATCGAAAGATTAATAGTGTGACGGCCAAAAACTAACCATGATGGAGCTCTGTCATAGCGAAGCAACCTGGATAGTCCAAATTATCTATGCCATCGAAATACGTATCCTTGTGCTTTTGAGTTCCGAGGTTGATCACTGAACCACCCCAAAGACTGCAGACAACGTATGTAAAGGGAAAAACTGGTTTTAGACACAACATATTTGCATATAGAAGTGAAGTTCTGTCAAATAATCTTCAACAAATCTAGAAAAATGACTTGTGAGAACTTGGGATATTCTATAGCTTTAGGTGGGCCGTAGTAAAGGATATCATATCATTTATGATCTTCAGATGTACAGCTTCAATGTTACAACAACCGCCCTTCCCATTACTTGGGGAGCAGATTCCCTCCAGACATTAAATTGATTCTCAAGTTCTTTTGTATGGAAATGAGGTAACAAGAAAATGATGTATGCTAGAAATTACAAAAACTCCATACTTCCATCTGTCTACCGAAATGAAATGCTGCAATAAAATTTTCTGCTTTTGAGAGAGTCCAACACTAAACCGAGTCCACCAAACAGATCAAATTTCGTTTGTACCAGTAGTTACCTAATCAATTGGCACCCCAAATTAATCAAGTCTCACCAGCAAAATGGAAACGTAACTACCGGTCCTGAACTAAATACCCTTGTTACCATCTGCAAAACAACAAGATTAGGGCACAATTTTGATTTGTGTTCAGCTACTTCAGGCTTTCCAGCCACCTTGAACATGCTACACCTAATACCGTTCAAATTTAACACTTGATGCAGCCAGATTCAAAACTTGAGCAAAACCCAGTTGTTGTTTAGAAAAATAAACAAGCCCAGAGATCACCTGTATTGGACGCCCATCTTGATCCCAAGCGACATATCCACGCTGCCAATAGCCTCGAGAATGGCGAAATACTTGGCGGGATCATCAGCCACATACCTAAAGGGCTTGATTCCAGCCTCCCTGACCAAACCCACAAGCTGCCGCCAGCAGAGCTCCCGGTGGTCATTTTTGGATATCTCCAGCGGCGTCTGTAGCTCCGGCCTGGACTCAAAGTAGTCGAAAACCTTCTCCTGTACGTCCCTGTGGGGCCCTCTCATGTACCCCGACAGCTTCCCGGTGTCCACCTCCAGCTTCGGCCTGGCGCAGGTCGCCATCCCGATTTGCCGGTCGCCGTCCGGCAAGGTGCGGGGGGTTGGGTTCAGGTGCAGGGAGAGACGCTCGATTCGGCGGGACACGATCTCGGTGTCGTCGCCGGATGCTGGGTTCGGATTGTTCCGGGGTTCCATTTCGTTTTTTATCGGAATTGGGAAGCAGGAGAAAAAAAATTGAAAAGCGTCTCGTCGATGAAGATTGGATTTCAGAGTTTTTGATGGGTAAAGCCGCCCCGGGTTTATACGCTACTGCGGGTGGGCGGAGGGTGACGTGGCAGTGCGGCTAGGAAAACCAAGTGGCGGAAACGGAATGGTGTGGATTTGGCAGTTAATTATGGCGCGGGATTCTGTGTTAGTTGTTTAACCGATATGTTCACATGGAGATGGAGAGTTTTGTTTTCATTGGCGAAGAATAAAAGAGACCAAATGGGACAACTTTTTTAATGTTCTCTAATCTCTACTCTTCGTTTTTTAATATATATATATATAATTCGGTTTCCTTATGGATTAGGTTGATGAGTGGGACAATACAATGGACAATCATATCCAAGATCCATAGCCATCTTCCCAAGATTGGATTGCTAAATTGGTATGGCAATTATGTAACTATATCTAGTTTGGTTTGGGGTATTTGTTATACATAATTCAAGTTATTATTTTCAATTGTAAATAATTATATGATTTGATGTATTTGTACTAGAAAGATAGAACACACGTTTACCCTAGACAATCAAGTTTATGTACCTGCGGCATATTCGATATAATCGTGTGTCATCCGACCACAATAAAAAGGGGAATACTGATTGATACTTATTCAGTTATTCCCCTAACCGGTAGACAAAATCAAGGAATAAGTGTGTTCCTACACCTCCTTAATGCGTCTAATACCTATTGTCTAGTCAACCATTTAGGGTAGGGCGAACGATGCCTGAAATTAACGGTGTCTGTAGCTACATGAAATTGTATGTTCAAAATATCAATTTGAGAAGATTGATTCGATAAAGAAGAAGCATCCTCTTTCTCTTTCTTCTAAGGAGGAGTAAGAAAAATTATCTATAAATAGAGCTTCCACCCTCACTCGCAAACCACAACATTCAAATCAAATTTCACTCGGAATACCTTCTTCCTATGAGCAAGACATTACTGTGTGTTTACACCTAAAGGTTATTTGATTTTATACATCACACTATTGAGGCGTCGTGAGGTTAACGATGCTGGGAACTAAACAACATTGCGGTGACGCGATGTCGCGGACACGAGTTCAGCGGCATTGCGAGTTTGACAATGACATGAAGCTAAACGATGTCGCAAGGTCAGTGGCATCTTGAGATTTAGTGACACTTGCTAATCTAAACGATTCCCCGAACTAAACAACATCGTAGTGGAGAGCAATGTAGAGTTCTGCAGCGTTGATAGTTCGACAACGCCTTTGAGCTAAACGATGTCGCGAACTCAACAAGGTTTCAAGCTAAACAATGCCGCAAGTATAACGGTGTCGCGAGTTCAACAACGTCGTGGAGCTAAGCGATGTCTCAAGTAACTCGCTGCGTTGCGGGTTTGACAATGGCACGAGCTCAAAACCACATAACTCACAGTGCCGCCAGATCAGGGGCATCGTAAGATTGAATGATGTGAATCTAAACAACATTGCGAGCTAAGTGATTTTACTAGTTCGGCGATGTTGTGGAGGCAAACAACAATGTCATTTTGCCCAAACTAGTTTGGGGATCCGACGACTTCGCATCGAGGCCATGTGGCGTGGCGTTTCAAACCACGATGTTGATTTTATGAGCTCGATCTCTATAAGAAGGAGAACAACGTCGCAGCTCAAGGTGGGAACCAACAACATCGTGTGGTTGACGAGGCTGCGAGCTCAACAATGTTGCGAGATCAACGATGTTGCGAGTTTAGACCTTGTGTGGTCTACGACGCCGAGAGATCAACAATCTAGGGCGATTACGCAGTGGCGAGGAGTGAAACGACAATGTTGTTTTAATCGATGGTGAGGTGATGGTTCGAACCGTGGTGCAGATCTTGGAAGGCATGTGAGTCTCACAAGAAACAAGTTGAAGATAAGAGCAAGGCGGTTACAAAGCAGTTCCACAGAGAAGTTACATGAAGACTACGAAAGTGATTTAGATAAAATCACCGAAGCAAGGAGAGAGAAGAACAAACAAAAAATAACACAGAAACTTATCTGTCAAACTTACCTTTTCTCTGTAACTCCCTTGCGGAGCTCTCCTCCCAAGAAGGATCTCCATAGTCGTAGCAGTAGTCGTAGTCACGGAGCTCTCCACACGAATCTCCATAGGAGTAGTTTTAACGTAGATTCCCCAAAAATTCAAATACCCCCGTTCGAACATTGTTTGAAGAGGTGTGAACCGAGTAACAGTCGTTCTTGGTTAGAAGTCAGAGGTGCATCTATCAAATCAACACCGCCCGGTGGATATTTGACGATCGTCTTGGTTTTGAGAAGTCAGAGGTGCACCGATCAAATCAACACCGCCCGATGGATATTTAACGGTCATTTTGATTTCAGCAGTCAGTGGTGCATCCGATCAAACGGCACCGCAAGAGTTTCCACCGCGAAAAAATCAAATCAACTTCGTCCGAAACGATTCGATACCAACGTAGATATTTGGTTTCGCGTGAAACATTGTGTCGCCTTTTAAACTCACTTTTTGAACCAACCTTCTTCCTCGACCCTATCCTCACTTAATGTGGACAAATTATTTCCTCTGTCTAAGTGTGACCTTTTTATAAAAATGTCCATTGAGCTCGAATTTGAACTTTGAACCCATACAAATCGCCCACAATTGTTGGATCAATAAAATGGATGACCTATCTACCCAGATTTTCCTCTTCATACCATTCGGCGTTCACACAGAGTATGGGCCAGAACCAGGAGAGGTGCAGACTTATTACTATCCGGACCAGAGAACCTACAACAGATCTCTAGCTCAACATCTGGAGCTCGGCCCAAAACTCCTCACTATCATCACCAACCTCATTCGGCAGAGCCTTCACTCTGTTGAACTCATGCACAATCAGTAAGCAATCTAAATCTAATTCCACATCCACAGAGAGAAAATGGAACAGAGGTTTGCATGACATGTCGAGAATGGTTGAGAACTGAGAGAGCAGCATACATGAGCTAAATAGCTTCTCCATTTCAGCGTAGACCAAAATCTCAGTGCTTCTGTTTTCCCATAGCTTAACTGATGCTAAATTGCTAACGAACTCTCAGAATGTGATCCAAATGATCCGCGTGTCCTCGAGATGAAAATCTTTAGAGGCATGTATTTTTACTGAAAAAACAGAATTGATCTCTACTGTTTCTAACTTCCTTCTAAATTACAGAATTGAGAAGGGTGGCCGACCAACCATCCTAGTGCACGGTTCAGCTCCCTGTTGGAGCTTACTTGTTGTATAGGTAGACGACGCTGAAGATAAAGAACCCAGCCATCTGCAAGGCACCAGCAAACCGTGTTTTGATTACGAGGAAGAACACGAACAGATAAAAAAAAATTATATCGACTTTCTGAGAGATTCTGGTTTTACCGTGGTAAAGGAAGCTCCATAATATGGGAAGGCAGTTGGGATGAACCTCTCATACTCATTGTGTCTGAAGGGGCGAACCGGAATCTGCAATCATAAATTGCCAACTGATTCAGTTCATTACACAATCATCCTCGAATAATTATTGGTGTTTACACATTATGCTGAATGACAACTCAATATCTCCAATTGTTCCCTCGTAGTGTAAATTAAGAGGTACCACAAAAAGGTTTACGCATGTGAAGCGGGCAGGGAGAGGAGCTGATAGGCCAAAGAGTTCACCTGTTTAGAAAGTGACAAACTAGTGTACCCAAGCTTCTGGTATTCAACCTTGAATTGGAAGACTCCGTATACATCAGGCACCTTGAACGATGTATGGTAAAGACCCTGTTCAATCAGTAGGAAGGGATAGCCCACAACATTAGCTTCCGGATGGTTAACAAGAACGAAAGCAAGGGAATAAAGGGAAAGTTTTACCTTCTTGTCAGTTGATAGAGTTTTCAATACATATGGGCTCATCATATAGAACTGAACCTGAACATCATCAGCCACATATGGCTCCCAGCTATTCCCAGACCACTCAAAAATGTCCACATAAAATTCCTTCAAGCACATAGCAACATTTAGACTGATACTTCAATATTGGTTTAACAAACCTCCGAGATACATATCGCAAAATAGATAGCAAGTAAGAAACACTCACAAGATCGTCTTTGATCCTGTACATTGCAGGTTCTCCAGTCTCCCCGACTTTTAGGTGTCTGAGGTTTCCAGCCTGGATATGCACCACAATTTAACATGACAGTGTGTAAGCTAAGGCTATCAACGCAATAGGTAAGAAGGGGGGGAGCAAATATAGTGTGACGAACTAGTGACCATGATGCACCTTCAAGTGACCTCTTTCATGGAAAAGCCATTTGCTAACTTCAGTCACAAACTGCTCATTTCCAGACTTTTCATACCTATTATCAGAATCAGCTCATGTATCATTATTCAGCCCCAGTAAGCAGCTTCTCTCAATACAGACATAGCATACAACCACGTGTACATTGTAAATGTGCATATTCATAAGTTTTGCTACCATCCACCTACATGTACGAGGCAATAGATTCCACTAATGGATGACTGACAATAGGGCCTGAGGCTAAACACATATAATAGCAGGCTCAACAAAGACACGCTCACCATTCATCTGGGTCTGCTCAACCAAACCCAAACAAGTAGTCGATATCTGTTTCTAAGTGTAGGGAATTGGAAGTGTTTCAGCAAGAGCTTAGCAACTTATGTCAAACATGCTTCTACCTGACAAACACACAGGACATGCCTGCACAACCATACCTAATAGGATAAGAGTAAATAAGATTGCTCTGACTTTAATGCAAGAGATTGAACATGCTGTAGCTTAAAAAAGTGCAAAAAGGTATTCTGGCTGAGTTATTCACATTCATAGGCAGCAGTATAAGTTTGCAAGAAGTAAAAGGGTAAAAGAGATAAATCAAAGCTCGCCCACTTACTTTGAAGGAATCCCAGCTTTCTGCACACTTGATTTCATATACCTGATTGGTAGAAGGTAGAGTCAAAGACCAACTCAATAAACACCAGATACTTGGATCTAGCAGCAAGAGAAACAAGCATACCGATTGCTGAACAAATCCAACGACCCAGATATCATAATACGGGCATTGTTCCTTGCCTGCATCATATAAAGTTAAATATCATTCTTTCTCTGGGACGTTCCAGTATCAAGTACGCTCAATAATTACTAATCGCCAACTGCACCTCACAACGAAAAAATGCAACTTCCAATCCTTCTGTAGACTAGATGCCTATAGAGCAGAAACAAGAAACCTAAACCTAGATTGTCGATTTAAAAAAAAAAAAAAAACAGTTACCTGCACAACTGAAACCAACGAGATTGCAGATCCAGTCAGCGACGGCGGACTTGACAACTTGGCAGATGGATTAGCTGAATATGCTGATGGAGAACCAGATAGGACTTTCAATGCCTTGAAAATATAGGGAATAAAACATAGCAAGTTAGCTACCATTTGTTCCAGACATAGTATATGCCAAACCAAGCAAGTTGATATTTGCGCTTACCAGAGTGTTTGCAGCATTCAGAGAATGCGCGATACCTTTAAAGAGAACTGGAGCCTGCTCAACCGAAAACCATTGCAAAATTCATTAGTTTGGCACTGGATCTTTCCACTCAAGGACTTCACCCCTGCAGGAGCTACTACCCTAAAACAAACATATAACAAATCAAAGATCCAATGAACAACCTCAATTTTAGTCTTTCCGAGGATCACATCCGATCTTATTAGTTCATCAGCTGCAATCAGCGTATGATCACCATCAACATCGGACACTGCATAGCCTTGGTGATCAATAACCATAGCTGAAGGATCCTACACCCACAACATTACCATGTTGGTCATAAGAATGCAACTGATTCTAGAGAACCATGAAAATGGACAATCAAATAACTTCATTTCATTAATTTTAATTTACAACTTTCATACAATTCCGCACAGACCTCATCGAAATCGACTCCGCACTCCGTCGCGACACTCTTGATCAAATCAGAAGCGGAAGTATCAGCGGCAACGATCAAATCATGACCGGAGTCAACGAAGTCAAGCACAGCTGCAACGTCCAATGCACCTCCAAACCCTATAACCCAAATCGAAGCGCACGAAATGCGGGCGCGGCGAATTAGAAATAGCAACAATAAAAAATAAAAAACTTAGACGAGAAATTCCACAAAACACCGGTGGCTTACTCTCAACTGAGGGGGCGAATAGGATCAAGCCGTCGTACAAGTACTGGCCATATCTCTGGAGGGCGAGCTTGGGATCATCGGCGAGCTTGAAATCGAGATCGAAGCCACGGGACTTGAGGGAGGTGAAGAAGATGGAATGCGAGGATTTGAGGGAGAAATCGTCGAGCAATACCAAGATCCGGCGGTCGGTCGGGGTGTCCGGCGAGAAGGAGTGGGAGAGGAAGGGGAGAAGTGAGAGTGTGAGAGTGAAGAAGATCGCGAGTTTCGCCATTGGAGCGGATCTCGTCAGTGGAGAGGGTTTTGGGGCGGACCAAGAGATTTTGTGAAGCCTCTTTCCTCCGAAGTAACCCAAGTGAAGACAACGCCTAGATGGATTCGTGGGTGGAGTTTCGTGTCGATAACTCGATTGTCGAAGCTGCGGGATTGGTAACTGCTCGTTGCTCGATACGTTTCGACCTGCAGGCTGCAATTGTCAAACGGGTTTAAAGTTTTATTTTTTATTATTTGATAATCCGGTAACATCAGCAACCCACATGCCTCATGAGTGACATCGGGGCCTACTAAACCTGGGGTACCTGCATACTAATCATCAAGGATTTTGTCCAGGTGTAGTGTCCGGCGTTGTGTTACCGTCATCAGTAAGACTTCGTCTCATGTACCAAGGGTGCCTCCGGGAACACCAAGAAGACAGTACTGGGATTCGAACCTGGAACATTGTCACATCTCAAGCCCGAAACACAGCCCTTTACCAACTAGGCTGTCTTACCATCGGCAACAGGTTTAAAGTTTAAACCAAGGTTGTTGACCTGGTTTTAGTGGTGTGCATTCGGTCGGTTCGGTTCAAATCGAACCAAACAGATGATTATCGATTCCCCAAAATAGTGCATGGGGCAAATCGAATTCGAATCGAAAAATATTACGGTTCAGTTCATCCAAACCGAAATATATCCCAGTTCTGTTTTAAGATAATGCCTGAACTCCCACACTTACCCTATCTATCTACCCATTTTCCATTTATGTGCATAATAGAATCTTGGCCTTTCTCTCTCTTTTTCTATCTGTCACTCGCTCTCTCCTCATAGCACAAGGCAAGCGACGATTTCTCCTCCCCTCTCTGGACTTGATGGCAACATCGATTAACGAAGAGAACAACTTAGACGGCAATGGCGATCGACGGAGAGGACAACCCAGCGACAGGCGGCGGCAGCGATTGCATGTAAATTTTGGTTTGTTTTTTCCTTTGATCTTTAGTAGCATCATTATCTCCTTTGTCTCTATTTTTTTTATTTCGGTGTACATCTACATCTCTCATCGACGCTGTTTTTTTGTATTTGGGGCTTGGGAACTATCTCATCACAACCACTACCCACCGTTTACTCTCCGCCGTCGTCTCCTCTACGGTGGCTATTCTCCTAGTCATTGCGAACACGAAGGACACAGAGAGAGTCCCAAATCTAGATCCTAGATCTAGTTTCGCCTCCTTCTATTGATTTATTCGTGCTCTGCATGTTACCGATCTTCAATTCTTCTCCGTCTCCTCGTTTTGCTTCTTCAATTAGGGTTTTTATGGATTTTGCCTCTATTTGTTCTATGAACGTGTTTTGTTCTTTGCTTTGCAAGTTTTTGGTTGTGAGACTAGAGCAGATGGAGGGAATGGGAAGGGGTTGGTTAACGAGTGGTGATGAGGGCTAGGCAGCTCAACCGGTTGTGCTCTGCATGGGACGGAGTTGTTGGAGAGCAAGATGAATCGAGATCCTCGAGAAGATAGCGGCAGAGTGGAGCGGTGACCGCAGTGAGTGGGAAAGGGGGCGGGTTGCCTAGAGGGTAGGGTTGTGACTTGTGAGGGTTTAGGCTTAGTTGAGTTGTGGGGAGAGTTGGGCTGTAAGGGGAGGGTTTGGGCTCAATTGGGTTATGGGGAGAGTTGGGGTGTGAGGGTTTGGCTATGTATAATAATTTTTTGGTTTCTCGGTTCAGTGTCGGAATGTCGGTTCGGCCAGCACGACCCTAACTCCCAAACTATGCATTTTCTGCTTCCAATTTTTGAACCGAACAACATAATTTTGATTTTGGTTTCAGTTTGAAGTCGGTTCGTTTTGGGTTTACAGAATTGGATGCCCACCCCTACCTGGTTTAATTCAAGGTTAACAACCAGTTTAGCCCGTTGGTATGGACAAATAAGTCATATTTTTCAAACTCCATCATTTTTCACGCATCGAATCTTTCGGGTTTGGGTTTTTAATGTCAACCTGGGTCCTAAGTGTGATGACTACTCCGTTAGTTCTTATTAATTAGCAGTGAAAGTGTAGTGAAGGTCCAAACAAGCAAACAAGCAAAGCAGTTAAAGGTTGTTTTCAAGTTGAGAGAGGTCACCCGGATATGGTTCCCCCTAGACTGTAGTTAAGCCGGATTGTAATTTACCAAGTTCATTTTCAAAGATAGTTATATTGCGGGAGGTTCTTAAACAGTCTGCAGTCTCGACTAAAGGTCTCCAGACCCTCTCAATCTGAGTCCCCAGCGGGCGACTAACCTCCACCAGAGTAAAAAGATTGAGGCCCTAACGAACCAAACCTCCACTACCGAAGTAAATCCGGTACAGAATAGTGAATTGACTCCTCGACTAAAGTCGTCAATTCACTACCTTCAATCAAGGGTGCTCTATCAACCTAGGCAGATATTCTCTTTCTAGGTTAAAACAGAAACAACAGGAATTTGATCAGGATTCATGTCATTCAAGAAATCAAACCTCAACTGAATATAATCATATCTTTGAATTCGTACTTGGGTTCATACAATCAGACCTAACATACAAATCTAGGGTTCTTCATATCCAGGTGAAAGAGAAAGTTACTCCATAGAGAGAGCCGGGAAATCTAGCTCAGATGCGGAAACCATACTGTGAAGGATGAGATTCTGCTTTTGGCACTCAATCAGCTCTTCTCCAAGATCAAGCCGGGCTCCAATGGTGATGGAGATCGATCTAAGGCACTTGAAGAATCAGGTTTGTCACTTTCTCTCTCTAGGTATACGCTTTGTCTCTCTAAAACTCGGAACCCTTCACTTTTGCCCTTCTTTTCCCTTAAGAAGCTGTCAATCGCGATCCCCGGTCTGAATACCCGGTCGAGTATTTTAGGTTGGAGACCGGGGATTGTTAAAACGCACAGTCGGGGACAGGGGGTTAATCCCTGGTCAAGGTCAAGAATACTCGACCGGGGATTTATGCTTAATGCTCGGGCCCCCTTCTACTTCTCAAACGCCCAAAAGAGATTTTCCCCGGTCTGCTCCGATTAATACCCGGCCGGGTATTTCTGCTCATGGGCGGGTATTTTGCTCCTCCAGCACACTTCAACTCGAACGTGCTCCTTTCGACCCGAAACTTGTTTCTTCGCCTCGATGCCAACGCGAGGCCCTGAAATATGAAATAAACACACAACCTAGCGGGAAATAGACTTAAAACACGAGAATCAACATCTCAAACGGCTCAAGAATAGGGGTAAAAACATGTGCAATTAACGGTCTATCAAACACGCAGTCAAAAATAAGTCTTTCTTTATGGTGTCTTATAGAAATGTTATGATATGTAGGAACGGTTTCACCTGGTTTAACTTGAAGATATGAAAGAGTTTTTGTATTGTACACATAACACATATATGAAAGGATTAATGTTCGAAGTTACGGTTTTTCTGAAGTTTGTGTGCTTAATAGCTTTACTAGGGGTGGCGGCTTGGATGTGGTCTGCTCATATTAACTTTCTTGTACAGTTTCAGCAAAAACTTCTTCTCTTAATATTGTTGATTGCCAACATCCTTCACTAGGAAGGTTTGTCGTTATGTTCGTTCATCTGAGTTGTGAAGTAGGAGCCCGTTAAGCTGAATTTAATGAAATAGCTACGTTTGCTTCGTTGTGTGTGTTGCCTCTTTTTGTTATTGTTGATTTTAATTTTATCAATGTTAGACAAGATAGGTGGAAGACCCCATGCTTGTAGCATTTGATCAGTTGGTGACTTTTCTTCATTTCACCAATTTCAGCGACTTGGGCTGTGTAGTTTCTCCATTCACATGGTCTAACTGGCGTCTGGTTCTAGTCATATCCCGAAGCGCCAGATGTTTGGCTAATGTTTTTGTTCTTAAATTTGGCAGCTCTTTGTTCAGCTTGTCTCGCCGCCTGAGAAACAACTGCGACGCTTCCACTATGACAAATGCTGGGATGCCAACCCTGAGGTTTTCAAGCATTTTCCAGTCTACATGGCATAAGGAGGTTCATGACACGACTCAGTTTCGGATTTAGTCTCGGCTGAAAAATTTGTGTCATGCCTTGGTGTGATGGTCACGTACATGGATGTCTAATTTCACAAGATGCATTCGGGAGCTTTGGGTGGCTATTGAAGGTGCTCGAGAGGCGACAGATGTGGACTGGGACCATATTAAAATCTTGGAAGAGCAATTGGGTTTGGCTTATAAGCAGGAAGAACGGTATTGGAAACATAATTCACGTGTTCGTTGGTTGCAAGCAGGAGATGTGAATACACGTTTCTTCCATCTAATGACGTTGCAGCATCACCGAGTTAATTCTATCTTGACTGTGAGGGATGAGCAAGGCATAGTTCAAACCAAGGAAGAGGATAAAGTGCTTGTTTCTATAGCATATTATCATAAGCTTTTCACCTTCACTAGGGATGAACCTACCAGCTTTGTTCGCATCTTGGGTCTCGCACAGATCGTCACAGTGATATGAATGAGGTTCTCACTTTGCATGTCACTCAAGATGAGATTCGTTGGGCATTTTTCAGTATTGGTAAAAAGCAAACCCAGGCTCAGATGAGTTTACAACTACGTTTTCCCAACAATATTGATCGCAGGTGGAAGCTGACGTTTGTGTTATGGTTCTATCTTTCTTCACCACTCGACCACTCCTCCATAGTATCAATCACACATGGGTTTCTCATTCTAAAGGTGCCCAACGCTGATATAATGCGCCAAATGCGCCCTATTAGTCTTTGCCAGGTTCTTTACAAAATTCTTGCTAAAATTCTTGCCTCGCGTCTTAGTTTAGTCCTTCCTTCCATTGTTATTCCTTATCAAAATGGCTTCATTAAGGGGCGGTCTATATCTGATAATATTTTCATTGCCTAGTAGATTATGCAATTGTTAAAAACTATGGTGCGGGGTAAGGAAAAGTGGATGGCATTGAAATTAGACATGGAGAAAGCTTACGACCGGGTGGAGTGTAACTTTCTCCTTGTGGTATGGGATTCAATGCTTGTTGGTGATAATGGGTTTTGTCATGCATCACTTCTGTTAATTTTCCGATCCTCATCAAGGGGTGGAGTGTGGATACTTTCATCCTCAATGTGGGATACGTCAAGGTGGTTCCCTTCCCCTCTTTTATTTGCGTTATATTCTGAAGCCTTTTCATCTTCGATATTATCTGTGATTGCGTGTTCTTATCTACACGACATCCGGGTTCATCGGTTAGCTCCTACCATTTCCTATCTTTTTTTCGCCGATGACACTTATTGTTCATTCTTGAAACCATCCCAAAATTTGCTAATCTTCTCCATATGTTCAATGACTATGCAACTATGAGTGTTGAACGTGTGAACTTCGCCAAATCTTTCGTCCGTGTGTCATATGACACAAAACATGAATTTGATGCCCTCACGTCGTTCTTGTGAGTCTCTTGGATGAGCATTGGTGATCAATACCTTGGCCTTTCATTTCCAAATACAATGTTCGAAGACAGTCACCTTTTACTTCGTTGAGGAG